AATGAACGACTCCCCCGAGAAGGGGAAGGAAGGGGTTTTTATAAGTTCGGCGTGGGAGAATGGTCATGTGACCAATTGTTGTGAGGTAAAAGGTATGCAGATGGGTCAGAGTTGTTCCCGGGCCCATGTTAACTATCAACTTAGCAGTTGGAATGTGGGATTAGTTTCGAATTGAACGGATGTTTATGTCGAACATAAACGAAAAGTTTTTTTTCCCGTTAGGTTCCACTTTAAGTTAAAGGAAAATTTAATTGGATTTTAAGCAAATACGGGACAATTAATCGACAAATAGTGGGCAAAAATTCCGGATTTCACATTACGCAATATTATTGAGTATCAAAACATATAAAACAAATAAATTTTATCCTAACCATTGAAAAATATTAAAATTAACGATGCATATAAATAATATGAAAAAACTTTTCAAAAGCGAAAACTTTCCTATACAGTTTTACTGTCCTAATTACACTTAATTTAAACAATTTCATCATTAGTCTGAACGAAGCACATAGCTAAAAGCTACGGCAAATGAAAAATGTCTCTAATGAAACACTTATCCACTTTAGGATACTACAAATACAACAATAGAGGATGGAAAGTAAAATTGCAAAACATCGAAGCATAAAAATTGTCTTAGAATCATGCTCTGCGTGCCACCTTTTGTATTAGTAAGACGCGAAACATTGCCAAAAGAAAATTTTTCAAAGGTAATAACTTTAAAATGCACCCGAAACAGTAGATAATTCGTTTTCTTGATAGAAAAATGACTTAATGTTGATTGGAAATGGTGGCCTCAGCGCTACTGAATCAGCGCGACTTATATGTTTTTAGGCCATTCCATCACGGTATCATTCCATATCAAACCAACAGCAACTGTAATGATGATATCATTCCATCACGGTATCATTCCATCACGGTATCATTCCATCACGGTATCATTCCATCACGGTATCATTCCGATATCAAACCAACAGCAACTGTAATGATGATATCATTCCATCACGGTTTATAGCCTACTCGGTGTTCAGGATGTAACCGAGTAGGCTATAAACCTGAACACCGAGTAGGCTATAAACCGTGATGGAATGATATCATCATTACAGTTGCTGTTGGTTTGCCAGTCTATTATTCGTAGTAAAACAGCATAAAATAGACTACCTGAATTCAAAAACTTTACATAATTTTTATATTATAAATTGCAGTATAAATTGTCTAGATGAAACAGTCAATACGGAAAGATGCTTACGATTTTAACGATAATTGTAATAGAATTTTGGACACAAATTCTGATAATAAGATGTTTACCTGTAAATGATAATGTATAAGCATAATTTAATAACATGGTTTAAATAACTTTGTGTTTATTGTACTTATTACAAATAAGACTAATACACGGTATTCTATGGATCAACTTACGATATATTAATTAAGATAAAGAAAATATAATTAAAAGTCAAAGTAATCATGATTCGAATTTGGAAAAATACAGTATGTTGTATAGCTCAGCTTTGATATTAGAGTACTATGTAATTGCTTTTCTAGCTCTGTTATACAGTAGACCTCCCTGTAACACGGTAGATACGTTCCGTTTTATATGACTTCCGTGTTTACGAGGCACTTAAACACATGAGCCAATCACAGTTCGGCACGAATGCACTTTACTAACTACGGCTGTTTGAAAGGTTTTCTTCCATAAAATTAATCGACTCTAGACTAATTTGACTCAACATTTCCAAAACGCATAATTTATTGAGAATGATCCATATAAATTATGCTGTAAACAAAAAGTTGTAGAATTACTTACCGAGTGTACACCGTTCGACGACGCTATTGCTTAAGTTTGTTTTCGTCGTGAAGCAGCGCGTGGAGCGGCGCATGGAACAGCAAGCGCGTGTTTCGTGATAAATTATTTTTCTTCGAAAAATTTTCTGAACTTTGGAGAAATCATTAATATAAATATAATTTTTATGGCCGTAAAATAATAAATGGTTTTTAGTAAATCCGTTGCTCGTTTAAACTCAACGGTTTGTGCAATATCCGCTATTGGGTATGGATTCGACCAATCATGTCGCGACACGAGTCAGGGATGACCTCTTACCGTATTACACGGTTCTCTTTTAGCGTCTTTATACGAATAGGCTCGCAATTATTTTTCTCCGTGTTATACGAATTTGTATTATATGAACTAGTGTTATAGGGGTCTAGTGTATACAGTCGACCCCCCTATAATTACGGTCCCTATAGTTACGATTCCTATAAAACTACGAAAAAATTGCTACCGGTATCCGTAAAAAATAGTAAAAGTTCCCTATAAACACCTCAAACGTCATCGGGAAGCCGAACTACTTTCCCGCCGTCCGTAGCGCCACGCTACGGAGAGATTTCTATCGTCTGGACAGTATTATATAAATTATATATAAATTAGGTACTGTACATATAATTATATATTAATTATATATAAATTAGGTACTGTATATATAATTATATATTAACTTATTGTAACTTTGTTATAATTAAATATATAATTTCCGCCGTCTAGCGTGGCGCCACGCTACGGAGATTTTTACGCTAACTATCGTCTGTCAGTATGTAAATTAGGTACCGTAAGTCTAATACAGTACTGTAATTTTATACATTTCTTGTGAAAGAAACATTTCTTATTCAACGGCGATTAAAATTATTTATATTAATGATGTCTCCGAAGTTCTACGAAGTTTTCACAGAAAAATAAGTTGTTAGAAATCGGCCGCTCTTTGCTGAGCTGTTCCGCGACGAAAACAATGTTGAGCAATGGCAATGTCGAATGGTGACACTCGGTAAGTAATCCTACAATTTTTTGTTTATAGCGTAGTTTATACGGATTATTCCCAAAAAATATATACGTATTTTGGAAATGTTGAGTCGGATTAGTCTAGAATCGATTAATTTTATGGAAGAAAATCTTTCAAACAGCCGTAGTCCGTAAACTTGACACGTGTCGGGTTGTGATTGGAAGGATTCGTAAGAAAGCGGATTCCTAGAGAATGGAACGTATCTCTATCTTATAGGGGGGTCGACTGTATAACAAAGGGAAAGATGTGGCAATCAGTCAAAAAAATAATTCTCTGTAAAGATTTTTATATATTTGGACATGGACATTGAAACGTTGAGAAACGTTAAAACTGTTTTTTGTTTTTGGTATGTATAGATATTTGTGTGTGTGCATATTTGTGCGCGCGTGTGCGTGGGCCTCCAACATTGAATTTTTAATAGTTCTTTTTCTTGTGTTAGACACATGAAATAAACGTGGAGTTCCACATGCTAAGACGTAAACCAGCGATTAACTACAGTAGAGCGTCGTTTATCCGAAAGCTGGCTATCCGAAACGTCCGTTATCCGAAAGCATTCCAGTCGGCAAATTTAAATTCTCGCTAGTGCTGTGGCGCTGCAATCTTCGGCTATTTCTCAGGCTACTCAAATATTTTACGTTTTTGATACTAAATTAACATCTGAAGTATAATTTTTTAATGTCGAACATAAACGAAAAGTTTTTTTTCCCGTTAGGTTCCACTTTAAGTTAAAGGAAAATTTAATTGGATTTTAAGCAAATACAGGACAATTAATCGACAAATAGTGGGCAAAAATTCCGGATTTCACAC